CTGTTGGGACCATTGACTTCGAAATTTGAACCCTCGAGGGTAGCGCAGAAGGACCATAAGTTCTAGAAGAGGAGTTCACCACCAAAAATGTCCCGTTTCGACGCTGGGAGGTAGGATCTTTCAGCCTGGGGATACGACCGCCCTCGGATTTGTACGACGACATGGTGCAACCCGACTTTGATATCCGGCTCCAGTCCGAAGACCAATGTTTCAGAATCGAAAGGAAGAGGAGATAGGTATGGAATCATTCCGCCTAGAAGTTGTTCTTCCCAGTTGTATATAAAGCTGCAAGATCGTGTCTTCTGTGAGCATTGGTCAAAAAGCCGATTACGGTGCCCATACTTACTCCTTCTATTGCATCCTGTTTGACCGCGAAAGCAAAAGTAATGTGGCGTCATTCAGTGAACAGGTTGAAGAATGCAAACAGACCGCGAGCACAGGGGTATCTATCGCTGGTACGGAGTAGGAAAACGACAATATCAAACGCTCAAGCGAAAAAGATGCAATACGTCGTGCTAATCGTGAAGCTTGCAGTGCAACAGAAATGGTGATTCAATGTTGTAATAGCTGGTAAAGCGACCAGAGGGCCACATGAAGGTATAGAATATAAAATGGACTAAAAAAGAAAAAGAGAAAAAAAAAATCCGTAGATTAAAAGTGAACTGTCAAACTATAGTTGAGCGGATCAGGACATTGCAGCTGCTTCGCCACAATACCGAGTCACTCGTGGCTAAACTGTCAAACCTGTCGAGCTGGAGCTGCACGAACACGTCAGAGAAGGCAAGAAAGATAATGAGAAAACTTATGCAGAGGAGACCAGCTGCGTAGGACGAAAATAAGAGGGAAAAGAAGAGAACAGAACGATAGTCAGGTAAGAAAGGAGGGGCAAAATGATATTTGACCCAGGAACAGGGTTCCCCAAGAATTACTGCAAATCTGCTTTTCGAGGGTTTGACCCCGAGAAAGGAGATTTTACAGGCCAATCAGAAGTTCATTTGGATTGCAGAAATCAAGTGGGGGACGAGGAATCTCAATATTGACATGTTGGAGTGCAGTCCATATGGGTTGGCTAGAACGGGTAAATGTGATGCGAATTGTGCGATCGACGTTGGCGTCTATATTCGAGATCCGATGTGACCAGCACAACCATTGGCGAATGGGTTGCAAAATCTTCGCTTTCGAGAAAGCTAAAGCCTAAATCTGTCGAGAAGCGGCTTTTTTAGTAGAGCAAATGGAACTTAGTGTAGAGCACTCCATAGCGTTGGGGACAGGATCGTGCACAGTAGCAGGCATTTGGATGGAAGTATCGAAAAGGGCCCACTTTTGGATCCAGTCCATTTGCCTTGAGGGAGCGCAGTGAGCGGAATGACTTGACAGGTTGAACTGGAGTTGAGTGGCGGAGATAGTGAAATGTTCTTCGTTCGCGCAGTCCGCCTGATCGGGGAATCCTAATCCGTAAAGATTTCAGGTAAGTCGCTGCATCAATTCTGTTAGTACCGAGTAGCAGCAGAGCAACATTGATTTCCTGATCAAATCATAAAAGCCTTGATAATTCTTGCTTGGCCTTGGCCGTCGTACGTCTGGATGTTGGACGATGATTGATGAACTTCATCGGACTAGTATCGGACAATTTGGGGGAGTTTCTTTTCTTAGCTGTGGGTGGATATTAGTGTGCAAGTCATGTGGTGGTCACTGACCAGTCTGCATCTCTGCCACTGTTGGTCTGCCTCGCAGTATCTAGCCTACTACTGCACGAACTAAGAAGATTAGTTATGCCTCAAGGCGACCCCGGCGAGGCCGATATGGCGTTACCAAAACCTCGTCGATCATTGGCAAGCCCGAAAGGCATGCTCTCGACTGGACGCGCATGGCTCTGCAGAGTAACACAGTTCGGCCTCTTTACTACTATTCGCACTCCTGGTAAGTCTTGCATATGGTAGGAGACCTGCCAAGGACATGGCATGATTATGCTGATGATGATTTCCAGCTGGGACACTTCCCATTATGCTATTGTTCCGCCGATTCTGATGTTCTATGGCATCACTGCAAGGTTCGCCCCGTCCCTTTACATAACCATGGATAGGAGAGCAAAGGACGAGAAACAGAGAACCCACCGCTAAAGGACATGGCCCACGATTGTAACAAACAATTTTAGAGAACTCGGTTGAACAGGCCGCAAACCAGCCAGTGACTGTGTACAAACGCCATGCGACGAGAGCTGAGGCTTGAAGCCAAATTGGCGAACCTGCGGATATGGACCCTGATTGGACTGTCACCATTTATGGGTTTGGAATTTTGCACCCGAAATTTGTGGAGTCGCTGAGCCGTGGGGCTTCTGCGATCCGCCGCTAAACGATCAAGGAAGCGATTTTCGTACTTCTGTGAAGACTGTGATTGAACGGGATACTTAACGGACGGACGAGACGCGGGGCAGTACCGGTTTATCCACCTGGATTGAGAATGATGGCGAAACAGGAAACTTTTCAAATCACCGTATTCGTCAGACGGAAAAAGCAATGACCCTTTGTAGTGGCCTTTGACTTCGGGATTCCAGTGGAGACGGCGGCAATTCAAGCGTGCTCACAGGAGCCGACCTGAGGCCAAAAAGAAGCCCATCGATGTATACGATCACGGGGTTGCCTGTACATTCTTGCAGTCGTTGGTTAGAGTTTGAAGAAACGCATGCGAAGTGGAAAGGAGCAAGATAGAAGACAGAGCTCACGAGATTCTCAAGGCGTTCAGTAATACGAGGATTGCGATGATGGCTTGAAGCCTCGTGCTCTAGGAAGCTGCAAGAGCAGAGAGGCTGCCGATCATCGCGATCATTCGAGATCAGCCGCGTAATTTGAGTGTCGAAGGCGCTGGTTTGCTGCAGGAACCACTCGCACTGGCCGACTTGAAATGGGCCTAATGCACTTTTCAGCTGACTCGGTCGGCGCAGCAACTCAAGCACTCATTGTCAAGTGGAGTCTATCTGTCTACTCTCCTTCTACGGTCTTAGATCATGAACGCCAATGTAGAGCATTTGAACAATGGCATCTTAACGGTTTTCTTTTGATTATTATACACCTTAATGAATCCATGGTACCAATATTCCGATCCAGTAATTGAGACTATTGCTTGTTTCTTTCCTACGTCACAATACCTCAACTTCATCATGAATCAAATAATATTCCAGTTGTAGATATCCCCGTAACGCCAGCGAATTGAAAATAAAGAAACCGAAGAAGGGGGGTCAATGATGGAATGGAGTACAATTGAATGGACGTATCGGCATACCCAACACTATGCCGCAGTCGCAAATCGCTTCTTTCTGGCTTCCATGGCCAGACGATCTTTCTCACTCATGTTACTCTGCTCGCTGGTTTTGCCAGCGTTTCCCTCATTCCGTTGATTCTGGTTTCGATTTCCGCGGCCCTTTCCCCGGAATTTGCCTCTGCCGCCAATATCACGTCGCTTGCCCCCTCGTGAGGCTTGTTCATTATCACCCCGACCTCTCTTGCGAGACTTCTCTGTCGGGAGAGCTTCGTCCAGGCCTTTGACACCGCCAGCAGGAGTAGGTTGAACCGCCGTACCGAACCGCTTCGCCCTCTCGAGTTGCTTCTCCGCCTCTGCAATTGCAGCCTTGGACTCCTCGGTAATACCAAACTTCTCCGCGCGAGCCTTGCGTTTCTTCAACTCCTCTTCCATCTCGGTGATGGGCAGCCCCATAGAATAGTCCGGTGCCGGTTTTTCTTCGGCCGGGGCAGCAGGTGCTGCCTCAGCTGGCGCACCTTCCGTGCCTTCATGCCCTTGCGCCCCACTCTCAGCCGATGGTGCCGCGCCCTTCGATTCGACCTTCAAATCGTCCGTAGTAGCGGGGTCGGTATCGAGTTTCTGGTTCGGAACAGCGACCGGGTTGGCGACTGCACCTTTGCCGCCAGCAGCAATGGCAGCGGCGCCAGCCTCAGTAGAAGGCTTCACGGCGGTAGTATCAGCAGCAGGTACATCATCATCTTCCCAGTCAATGACATCGTCCGCGGCATCAGTCTTTGCAGCAGGGGCAGGGGCCGATGCGGCCTTGGCTTTGTTTTCGTCGTCTTCCTGGAGGCGAGCGACCATCTCCGCCTTCTTGCCTGTGTGAGGAAGCGAGCGAGATTTGAGAATCTCCACTAGCTCCGCGTTCGTCTTCTTGCTGTAATCGGTGGTCATTTTGATGGGCGTTGAGCGGTGATGGTAGGTGTTGTGTTGTTTGGTTCGGACGTCAACGGTCGAGGATAGGCGGAATCGAGATCTTGCGCTTAGTGGGTGATAGGTGTAATTGTCACAAATTAGGCAATTGGCATACTGCGCTTAGCAGGGTAATAATGAGTCAATTGTGCTGATGGAGAAATGAGCAAAACAAATCCGGACAGTGAGCTTTCACTAGCTGATGAAGACGCGCTGAAGTTCACGCGCAGTACAGTTAAGCTGTGGCTTGTTTCCCAGGTTGGGAATAGGTCATGTGACTATGACATATCGCGTGGCATTTACTTCTTTTCCGCCCTAAAAATTAGGAATGCCTGCTTCCACAAGGAGTCGCCGCAGTCTGCGAGCTTAACCGGAGCATCCAAAAGTAAACAGCTGAAAACAAAGAGCTTGGACCCTGGCAGGCTTGGAGCTTCTGACATGGCACCATAGAAACGACTGTGGCAATTCATTGAGCATTTGAATTTTGCATATACTGCGCCACACTTATTGGATCATGTGATCGCCTGGCATAACAGCTCGATATTCCAACTTTGATAGTCGTGGATCTGTGCCTTTATTATTTCATGATTAGCAGGTGGTAATGATTGGACTCTAATTTGATACTCATTGTTCTAAATGTCAACGGGTCTGAGGTACAGCTCCGACTGAATTAGTCCGCATCTGTCAAACGAAGATATCGCCGGTATCTAATATAAAAATTTGGCGGGCTTATATCAAAATAATATTGGGAACTTTCCTTTCTATGTACAAGAAGCCTCGTAGTAGCAGAATCATTTCCGATCGATAACAATCCTTTCTGCGCCAACTTTCTCTGCCTCCCTGTTCAATGCATCTATTTCTGCTTGGACATACGGAATGCCCGTCTTCAATCTCTCCTCGTGCGTGATCTGTTCAATTTCCCCAGGAAAGTAGATGTGATCTACTCCAGCCATTTTCTCGGAGCCCACCACCCTCTGATAAAGATAATCCATCCGCTCCTTGAACTCCTCCAGGCTCATGAAGAGATCCGGCTTGATAGCGACGAGAAAATGCCCTACATCAGCCGGTTTCGAAGGATCATAGGGATTAGTGACATGACCCGCAAATGCCGAGCCAGACAGGACTCCAGAGAATACATCCATCATGACCGCGAGCGCCGATCCCTTCGGCCCTCCCATAGGCAACATCACACCTTCAAGCGCCTTGTGCGGGTCATCCGTAGGCCGTCCCTCACCATCCAAAGCCCAATCGCTGGGAATCTTCTCCCCCCGCCTCGCAGCCTTGTAGATCTTGCCTCGCGCCGCAATCGAGGGCGCCATATCCAGAATAAACGGCTTCTCCTTACCCGCCGGCGCACCGCACGCCAACGGAGACACTCCCATCAACTTCTCCCTCCCACCCCAAACAGGCAACGCCGGCGACGAGTTCGTGAAAACCAGACTCATCATCCCCGCGTCAAGCGCCTGCTGCACCACCCACGCGGACATCCCGAAATGATTCGAATGCTTGACGGAGACGAACCCGATTCCAAACTCGCGCGCCATCTCAATCGCCCGCTTCATCCCGAGATGCGCGGCGACGAACCCGAACCCGTTCTTTCCGTCTACCTGCGCCACGACCGGCGTGATTTGGTTCAGCACGGGGTTGGCTTTGGCGTCTAGCACTCCTTGACGGATGCGTTCCATGTAGGATGGGATGCGATTGATGCCGTGGGTGTCCACTCCGCGTAGGTCGGCGCGGACCAGGCAGTCGGCGATGATGGTGGCATTTTCTGGGGAGACGCCGTTACCTGTTAAGACGGACTGGACGAATGTCCTGGCGTTGTCTGCTGAAACGTAGTGTTTTTCGGTTGCTGGATCCATTGGTACACCTGTAGTAGCTCTTGCTTGTGTGGGAGTTGTAAAGTGAAGGAGATTAATGTCGACTGTCGCAGACTTATCGGATTCACTCTTAAAGATCCGTGCAGTGACTCAGTTCTGGGATTCCTCAATCGCGGAAAGTGTTGATCCCATCAAGCTCAATGTCCCCACCAGATCGGATCGTTGTCCGCATCTCCACCCCGACCTCGGACGATCCCCGCATTCTGTATATATAACGGCTGAAGTAGATGACTTGTTGTTGTTGAACGAGCGTTATGTTTCGGACGTTTCGGCCCAGATTCGTTCCGTCTACGTTGGTTTACTATCAGGTAATAGATGATTCCAATGCGCGGTTTCAGGAAATATATTGAGCAGTGTGGACATGAACTACAAAAAAGTAACACTCCGCCCCAATAATTCAACAAGATACACGTTATGAGAATCAAATGAAGGATAGATCCGAAGGGGTAAGCTAAGCATCGTCCAAGAACAAGAGATACAAAAACGAACGGACCGCGTCAACCATAGAACCAGTATTCTGCCGCATACTCTACCTCAATGCTCTCCTTCTGACCCTTGCAAGAAGCTGGCGGTTGTCCACCGGACGTGTGTATCCGATATACTTCCTGATATGCCTGTCAACCTAATGAAGTGTCGCTAGGGCATACTTAGCTACTTACCCGAATACCTAAACCGTCAGCGAAGCCAAGCTTCAACCACGGAACACTGTGGTCTCCTTCCTTTGAGTGGCTCGATAACTGAGAGGGCGCTGGTACACTTGAACCCTTCTTGGCCTGTAGCCAGTCCTTGTGCCCTCCGATGCGTAGGTCGAACATAGGCGCCCCCGTGCCCGTAAAGTAATGTTCTCCAAGGATCAAGCCACTGCTTGTCCGTGAAGTCATTTGACCGAGGAGCATGGCAAAGAGCCCCAGTGCATCAGTTGATACCGTGCTTATTGCAGACGGCATCTCATGGAGTATTGCAGAATTATGTGAGGCAAGGCAGGACGCGTCGAACAGTGTCGCAACAGCGCCAGTTGCAACCGGGGAAGCAGATTTACCAGATGACGAACAAGTGTAGTTCTGAGTACCCCGACCAAGTGCCACAAATTTCAGCTTCAATCCGTGGGACGGCGCAGGCAAAGCTGGTTTAGTATCACATAGTGGTATCGTGGGATTGACATCAATGCAGTTTCCAACTTGTATCCCATCGAGTGCTTTGGTGATCTTCACAAAATCTTCAGTTAGGACTCGGTTGCCTCGGACAAGGGGGGAGGCTCCCGCCACGATTATTGCAAGGAAAATGGAGATGGACGTCAAGAAGTACATGGTGAATAGGACAGCAGGTTGAGCAGATAATGGTCAATATGTTTGTGCTGGCGAATTTTGGAGGTTGATCCTCTGGATAGTATTCCCAACACCATATTAATAGGCAAGAAGGCAGCTGGACGCATGTACAAAGAACTGAAATATTTGCTCACTTCACTGTTCATTCCAATATAGAAACCATGATTCAGCACTGCCATCCAACAAAGCAAGAACTTAGTAGCCAACATGGTTGATAGAGGCAGCTCTCTCTCTCTGGCTATTTCACAGCTGTAGCGAGTGGCGCTGATCCGGTCTCTTTGTGAAGGAGCATTGGAAGGCATAATAAGGGCTGAATTCAATGCCGACCAACCAGTGGAGGCGCATGACATCTCAGGGTCTAAGATGGACTTTGATAGATGCTACACGGCAATTGAATAAATGAATGACCGGAAAGATGAGCCAATTGGAAAGTATAGGACGAGGGTCCGTGGTATAGTCATTGTTGGTTGCGACGAGGATAAAACCAACAATGTCGGAATGTTAAGCGCCGCCTCGTTATACCTTCGACTTCTTGCAAAATTCGTTCAGTCTGGCAGTCAAAGGGACACAAGAAGACCTGAAACAACACTCACGTCTTCATTCTAGCTAGACTTCTTCACAAAGTTAGGCTTGCGCTGTCTGCTTCAGGTGATTGTGAGAAGCTCGAACTTCTGTCAGTCTTGGGTCATTTCGTCCTTTCTCGCAGCCGTGCTGAGAAACAGTCTCAGCAGGCTAAGTAAATGCGCTAGATTATTTGGATTCCCAACTTTACTATATCTCTGATTGGAAACACGTAGTATCTGAAGTAACTAACGAGATAACGGGCTGAATATTGAGTCGATGCAGAGATCTGTGCGCTTCAGAGAAATATGATATTGCTACCCAGGTTAGGTTTCTTGACTTTCTATGCGAGAGGATCTGCATCGCTTGTTTTCAAGACACATCTGCCCTGGATCTTCTGAGCTACTCTCTCATTCTCACCGCGGTGTTGCTGGAGGGGTATATTCGGTCACAATCCGAACAGCCTGCCTCAGCTCATCAGGAATGGTGTACGGGAAGCGGTAGGTAGTATTTCCACTGCTTTGGTCTTGTCTTCCTGCATTTGCTTGCGGGCAGGCTCCGCAGTAGATCGCATAGATATCAGATTAGAGGAGCCAGATCACGCGTCACGGACTCAGCACGAGCTTGAATCTCATATTTGTTGGTAGCCTTATGCCTCTTATGCATACTCGTACACCGTCCAATCCTCGTCTGCATCCCCCTTCCAAAGCTTATCTTTATTCATGGGCCCCTCTATCGTCTCGCCATTCGGGATCGGCTCTTCGATACCCTCAACAACGGCAAGTCGGGGGAGTTTTTCATCTTTCTCCGCCATCAGCTTGGCAAGCTGTTCCTCAAGCGAGTTCTGCGAAACACCTTTCAACCGCGGCTTCATTCCCTTCTTATAGCCATATATGCGGAGTGACACGAGGTTGGGCGGCAGGTGATCGACAAGGGAAAACGATCCATTATCGACCTGGTCACCACCGTATCCACGCGCATAAAGATAAAGAATATGAACTCCTAGACTGAGGTCCTCCAGTTGCAAGAAATTTCGAAGAGAGCAATCATCTGCAGTCGATTCGTCCTCCGCAGGAAGCTTCTCAAGTTCATCAGCCCACTCATGTAGGTAAACTGGATCGTCCCGGGGAGATTCGTGCTCTTCTTCTTCTGGGGTATACTGGAGATACCTCAGATTATCGCTATCAAGGTCCAGTATACGAGTTTCCTCCTCTACATCAAGATCCAGCTGGCGCAGAGAGGCTCGATGAACAAAAAGCGCCCGAAAGACATGCTCTGGATGGAAGGGCGTCAGCATACCATTCCATGAGGAGTGGCCACCGATCCCATATGTGAACTTTTCCAAGCGCTTGGCTGATTCGATTATATATACCAGGTATGGGTAACTAAGGCTGGAGTGCTGTATTGTGATACAGGTATAATTTCCTGACCGTGGTGGTGGCTCAACACTAGGAAGATTGGCGTCCGCAATAGCATCCATGCGGATAGATTCCACTGCCGGCAGACGTCGCACTAGATTAAGACTTATGAATAGGCCATAGGGTTGATAATATGTCGAATGATACACATCGGTATTCGGATCGACTAGGAACCTAACAGCTCTGAGGTTCTGTAAGAACGGCATGTCCTTCCCACGCATGCTGGCCAGTTCCAGGAAATGCTTGAATACATAATCGGACATGGGAAGCGGTTCGCCGTCCGCTTCTGCTTCCAATCTCAAGAGCTTGGGTGCCTCATATCCAACGGGGCAGAAGCTAAGCGAATCAAGCATAGGTGAGACCGAGACTAAGAGGGCTGCCAGCGCTTGGGCGAGAAACGGAGATCGTGGGTCGTCGTCACTATTCAGAGTTCAGAATGCAGAGGAATGACAAGATCCATGAAACAGAGAACACGGATTGGTCAAGGCAAATTAGGGTGCCCATACTACATGATAGCGGGAGCCTGTAGCATATTTAAAATCTTCTCCTGCTTTTCCACCGACTCAAAACCCAGCCGTTCAATGGCTTTTTTGAGCCTGTGTAGGTCATCTAACGCCAGTGCCCTTTCTGCAGGGCATGGTTCATAGGATTTCACAAATCTGTACCCTACTGCTGGCGATCGATTCAGCTGAATATTACGTACATACAAACCCAGTCGTGGTTTCTTTAAGATGGAGAGTAACATCCCAAATGCCCTTGTGAAATCCACGGTGTCTCGCAACCTTACCCGGCGGTATTTGCGCCGAGTGGACATCTCGCACAGGCGATGTATGCGGCGACATTGCAGAGAAAGTGAGGCAACATCATGATGAGAGGAGAGACAGTCAATAATTCCTTGGAGGATTTCTTCTGGGAGGGTATGGAGGGACATGGAAAGGATGGTTGACTTCGAGCGATATCAGTGACAACGCTCTTTTATTAGGGCGGCACTGGGCACCTACTCATGTAGTTAACGTAATCGGACACCGAACGGGCCACGACACCGAGCGGGCCATCGGAAACCATGATTTTGATTTTGGCCGACGCCAAAAAACCATAAGATATCTTACTACCACACAGTCAATTTAACAGAAATTTTTGAATTATCTGGATCTACTAGGGCAGCTGGTTCTAATATGACTGATTTGATGGCAGTTATTGCATTGTGGTGGCGCATGCTTTCTGGGAACTGATTCCACTAAGTCCATTGCCTGCATGGCTTCTTGAGCAAGTTGCTGACCTTCAGATCCTGTCAGAATACCCCTAGTAGTAATAAAAGATCTTAGGGCTGTATGCTTCTGTTTTTGCTTTTTATTTACTGTGTGAAGCTCAGTCATCTAGTGTTGTAATAGAATGACTTTATACATGGTGGATTCAGCTGCTTTTGCCAGCTGATGAACTGCTTTATTTAGTGGGCTTTCAGAGTTACAACTAATAAGTTATTTAATAAGCTGCATCTGCTTTTGTACCTCCGCAGTAGTATAAGGAGTTTTTGCTATCTATTCCCTGTCTCCATCTAAAGGCCCATGAGCAGTAGAGGGTGGTGTGATATACTTAATGGTAAGCCTATCCAACACCTGTTGATGATTCAATGGAACTAGTCCAGAAGCCCTAAATCCACTGCTGATATTAGAAGGTGATAATGCTTTTCATGCTTCCTTGTAGAGATCCAGAAAGTTCTCTTTATTAATATGATGAATGCTATTTTGAATACTGCGCATCACCTCTGCACTATATACCTTCTTTAGGGGTGCAAAGCAGCCAATATTAAGTGGCTGCAGTTTATCAGACGAATGGGAAGGCATATATAAAGGAATGATTTGATGATTCTTGCAGAATAGGTCAAACTCTGCAGATTCATGGCTAGTATGACCATCAAGTATCAGAAGCCAATATTTTCCTTATGCACGCGTCATAGTATGCTTCTCAAAGACTTTTTCCAACCATAATAAACCAAGCTCATTGTTGGTCCATCCATTATCACTCAGACTAATCAGCCAGTCAGGGTCTATGGCTTGATACTATTAAGATTGATGGACCTTGCCAGAGAAGATGATCATAGGGGGCAGAGACCACCCAGAAGCATTAATGCATTCAACAACAGTAACCCATTTGTGATTCCCCAGCTGTATAGCTTGTACTCGGCTTATTTAATAGTAGGATGCAGTAATGACCTTTGCTATATGGGCCACACCCATTTAAAAGCTAGTCTTATTGAAGTTGTAGATATCCTGTTTGAGAATACCATATTTTACTATGGTATTCTGAACAAGATTAAACCACTGGTTGATGATCTCAGGATCCTCATATTTTGCGCGTTGATAATTATACTTGCGAGTATACTTGGATGTGAGCTCATCATGTTGTTTAATGAATCTAGTGATCCATCTTTCACTGACAGATTCCCCATTTCTCTCATGTAGTAGTGTATCTGCCATCTTGCGTACCATAGCATGAGTAGGTGGAAGACCTCGCTCATCCATATCTAGAATCCACTTCTTTAGGGATGCTTCTTCTAGATTGGTAAGCTTCTGGCAGTTTGCTTGTATATCAACCCGTGCTTTTCGACCGCTGATTCGATAGGTAAGGGTAGACCTTGGTATGTCGTATGCTGCTGCTGCAGCTCGTATGCTTTTAAACTGGCCATTTTTATATGCTTTGACTGCAAGGCTGATTCTATCTTCTAATACGAGCGCTGATTCTTCTTGTTTTGGTGCCATGTTGGATGGAAAAATTGATTCAGTCGTTGGAAGATCCAGGGGTGGGAGAAGTGACCCGCTCGGTGTCGTGGCCCGTTCGGTGTCCGATTACGTTAGTTAGTGCTTGCTGATTACTCAGCTATGAGTAAGAGTCTGTGCCACTCAAAGTCACATGACATAGCTTAGTCGTCAAACTAGCGTGGCCCGAACGACTTCCTTTTTGCGCTCAGTTCATTCTCATCGCAAGCCATCAGCGAATTGCTTCCCAGACCGCATTCACTTACACCGTTATTGCGGTGTTTGATCCGAATGTAGCTACTGCTACCTGTACTAGAGATATATTACTCTCTACCTCATTTGCGGACTACTCATAGCTGCCAACATGTCTGACGGTAGGTCTCTTCCACCCCTGACCGAAGACGCCGTGCTGATTGCCTCTGCAGCTGACTTCGAAGCTGTTCGCAAGCTCCAAGCTGAGCGGAATGCCGCTACAGCTGGGAAGAAAGGTTCTAGGACCTTTGATTCGTCTAGCCAGCGCACTGACAACTCCACCAAGGCCTCCCTGACCGAAACCTTTGATACCACTCTGTACGACCGCGAGGGTCCCGACAAATACGCAGGCTATAACACGTCGATCGCTGTTGATGGCGATGAAGAAATGGAAGATGCGGACGGCGGTCACCGTCTGGTTGGCCAGTATACCGCAACCAAAGATCAGATTGACGAGCTTGCCCACGGCAATGGCGTCGAGGAGGAGGATATCCTTACTGGACGCGAAAAGGCGGCCAGGATTGCGGACAGGGAAACAGACTATCAAAAGCGTCGATTCAATCGAGGCCCTTTGACGCCAACCAGGGCTGATCCCTTTGCGGCGAACACTCATGCCAACGTGGAGACAGATGGCCAGACATACCGTGAAATTATGGCCCTCCGTGAACTAGAGAAAGAAGAAGAGCGTGTCCAGAAGCTGATCGCAGAGAAACAGGCACGTGGCGAGAACGGTGTCACTGAACATGAGGCCACTCTGAAGTTAGAGGATAAGGAAAATGCCGAGGCTGGTTCGACAATCTCTGTCGCCTCGGGACGAAAGCGCAAGCAGCGGTGGGATGTATCTAACGAACCCACAGAAGCTGTTTCTGAAGCTCCTCAACCTTCCGAGACGAAAGCAAAAAGATCGCGATGGGATCAAACACCCGCCCCCGCTGTCCCTGGCACTACCGAAGAGGCTCCCAAACGGCGATCAAGATGGGATCAAGCTCCAGCAATCGCAGCCGCAACACCAGTTGGCAATCAGGGACTCGCGACGCCAATGCATCCGTCTCAAGTAGGTGTGCCTATGATTCCGACCAGTTTTGGAACTGATATTTCTGGTCGAAACGCCCCTCTCTCCGATGAGGAACTTGATATGATGCTTCCCTCAGAAGGCTACAAGATTCTTGAGCCCCCGCCGGGATACGCACCGATCCGAACACCTGCAAGGAAGCTCATGGCAACTCCAGCTCCTGTTCCCGCGGCTGGCGGCGTAGGAGGGTTTATGATGCAGGAGCCTGAGAGTGCCCGCGCATTGGGCAAGCAGCTGCCAACTGAAATCCCAGGTGTTGGCGATCTGCAGTTCTTCAAGCCCGAAGATATGGCATACTTTGGCAAATTGATGGAAGGGGGCGATGAGAGCACGATGTCGGTAGAGGAACTGAAAGAGAGGAAGATTATGAGGCTGCTGCTCAAGGTCAAGAACGGCACACCACCCATGAGAAAGACTGCTTTGCGTCAACTCACGGATAACGCGCGGCAATTCGGCGCTGGCCCTCTTTTCAACCAGATCCTTCCCCTGCTCATGGAGAAGTCGCTCGAGGATCAAGAACGTCACTTGTTGGTCAAGGTTATTGATCGTGTGCTCTACAAGCTAGATGATCTTGTTCGCCCATACGTCCACAAGATTCTTGTCGTCATCGAGCCCTTGCTCATCGACCAGGATTACTATGCTCGTGTTGAAGGTAGAGAAATCATCTCCAACTTGGCAAAGGCGGCTGGTCTTGCTACCATGATCAGCACCATGCGTCCCGATATCGACCACGTGGATGAGTACGTCCGGAACACAACTGCCCGAGCATTTGCCGTCGTTGCCTCTGCCCTTGGTATTCCGGCTCTGCTTCCGTTCCTTCGTGCTGTGTGTCGCAGTAAGAAGTCCTGGCAAGCCCGGCATACCGGAGTCAAGATCGTCCAACAGATTCCCATTCTCATGGGTTGTGCCATTCTACCTCACCTGAAAGGTCTGGTTGACTGTATTGCGGACAATCTGAGCGATGAACAGGCCAAGGTCAGAACCGTCACTGCTCTTGCCGTGGCTGCTCTAGCGGAGGCTGCCAATCCTTATGGTATCGAGAGTTTCGATGAGATTCTTAACCCGCTCTGGACCGGAGCCAGAAAGCAGCGTGGCAAGGGTCTAGCTGCTTTCCTGAAAGCTGTGGGCTACATCATTCCTCTTATGGACGAAGAATATGCCAACTACTACACCAGTCAGATCATGGAGATTCTCCTACGTGAGTTTTCTTCTCCTGATGAAGAAATGAAGAAGGTCGTTCTCAAGGTGGTATCACAGTGCGCGAGCACTGACGGCGTGACGGCTAGCTATCTCAAGGAACACGTGTTGACCGACTTTTTCAAGAGTTTCTGGGTCAGGCGAATGGCGTTGGACAGAAGGAACTATCGTCAGGTTGTGGACACGACTGTCGATCTTGGACAGAAGGTCGGCGTGGGAGAAATTCTTGAACGCGTGGTCAATAACCTGAAGGATGAGAGCGAGCCTTACCGAAAGATGACCGTTGAGACTGTTGAGAAGCTCATTGCAGCCCTTGGGGCTGCCGATATATCAGAGCGGCTTGAAGAAAGGCTGATTGACGGTGTCCTCTATGCGTTCCAGGAGCAAAGCATTGAGGATATTGTGATCCTCAACGGTTTCGGTACAGTGGTTAACGCACTTGGTACTCGCTGCAAGCCCTACCTCCCGCAGATTGTCAGTACCATCCTTTGGCGTCTGAACAATAAGTCTGCTACAGTCCGCCAGCAAGCTGCCGACCTCATATCCCGTATCGCAATGGTCATGA